CATAACCACAAACTTGCATATCACCCACAGCCACACTCATGAACAATCACAACATAGTATGAACGCTGATGACGTATGCGACACAGGAAGTTTTTCGGCATCGGCAGATTCGGATGCCAAGATGGAGGTGCCGGAAATCGAACAGTGCTCAACATAAGGTGCCAAAACATAATTATTCCTTTAATGGAAACCCAACATTGGGATTAAAAATGTTGTGCATGCATTACCGCATTCTCAAGTTAGTTTTTTAGGCGATAGCTTATGGGAAGACATTCTAAATTTATTTCCGGGTGCTCTTGCAAGATATGTCTGAAAAGAAAAACATGACCCATAATTTGCATACGTAGTCAGTTTGAAATCAAGGAAGGTAGTTCTTTTCGTTCTTATAAGGGATTTCTTACCAAGGGCGAAATATTCGCAACAGAAGTAACGAGATTGACTGTTTACCTGAAACAGCCCTGGCTGCAAACGATGACACATATTTTGACATCATAGAAAATATTATACTTTTGAACTATCTCACGACGGTGAAAGGGAAAAATTGCCTGGAATGTGGGGACAAGACATCGACTTTCCTAAAACATTGATCCCAGGTACAAGCCTTGGTTTGAATACGGAAAGCCTCAGGTGCGTTTGAGTGGGCTTTTCGACGTAATTTTGCTTCCCACTTTTGGAGGACCCTAGTATCTCCGTTAATCTGGCAGCAATGTGGAAGTATCATTTTATTAGCGGTACAGCTGCTGAGCACTGAGGAAAAATACAGACTGCTCATATGTCGTCAAATGCAGGCTTATCTCCAGGTCTCTGTAGTCTTGCACAGGTCGGGGAGGGCCGTGAGGAATGTTGGGGTTTTCATCGTTGCCACATTTGTTGTTATGCTTTGATGCCTGCCCATGCAAGCATATGGCTAATTGCCATGCAGCCTAGAAGTCCAGCGCAAGCCCTGAACGAAAACATCTTAAGGCTGAAGAAAGGCTAAAAAATGCAACGTGGTTGGGTGTGGATTTGCACCCACGTTTTGGGATTTCAGGACACTGTGCAAGACGCCTGCCAGATTATAAAACACCATAATAATGGCTAGTAATATATAATATCTCAACTGTACGTCACAAGAGCAGAATGTACAAAGCGCATACCAACACTCCAAACCCCTGAAACATTCAGGATTCTTAACTCGTTTGAACCGCTGCGAAGCCTGTGGAAGCGATCGGAGAGAGTCCTCGCACTTCCTGGACACCGGCAGGGCGATGGGGGAAAGTGACATACAGGTGACAGGTGACAGTGCAGTCAAGTGACAACATTGGACATACAGTCCCAGGTGGACAACATTGGGCTTGAACGGGTCGAGAACGCCATAGCATGCGTTCACAGGATCCGGCCTTCGCAGTGACTCTGCTGGGTGTCGGCTACTGAATCCATGTTGAACGGGTCGAGAACGTCATAGCATGCGTTCACAGGATCCGGCCTTCGCAGTGACTCTGCTGGGTGTCGGCTACTGAATCCATGTTGAACGGGTCGAGAACGCCATAGCATGCGTTCACAGGATCCGGCCTTCGCAGTGACTCTCCTGGGTGTCGGCTACTGAATCCATGTTGAACGGGTCGAGAACGCCATAGCATGCGTTCACAGGATCCGGCCTTCGCAGTGACTCTCCTGGGTGTCGGCTACTGAATCCATGTTGAACGGGTCGAGAACGCCATAGCATGCGTTCACAGGATCCGGCCTTCGCAGTGACTCTGCTGGGTGTCGGCTACTGAATCCATGTTGAACGGGTCGAGAACGCCATAGCATGCGTTCACAGGATCCGGCCTTCGCAGTGACTCACCTGGGTGTCGGCTACTGAATCCATGTTGAACGGGTCGAGAACGTCATAGCATGCGTTCACAGGATCCGGCCTTCGCAGTGACTCACCTGGGTGTCGGCTACTGAATCCATGTTGAACGGGTCGAGAACGTCATAGCATGCGTTCACAGGATCCGGCCTTCGCAGTGACTCTCCTGGGTGTCGGCTACTGAATCCATGTTGAACGGGTCGAGAACGTCATAGCATGCGTTCACAGGATCCGGCCTTCGCAGTGACTCTCCTGGGTGTCGGCTACTGAATCCATGTTGAACGGGTCGAGAACGCCATAGCATGCGTTCACAGGATCCGGCCTTCGCAGTGACTCTGCTGGGTGTCGGCTACTGAATCCATGTTGAACGGGTCGAGAACGCCATAGCATGCGTTCACAGGATCCGGCCTTCGCAGTGACTCACCTGGGTGTCGGCTACTGAATCCATGTTGAACGGGTCGAGAACGTCATAGCATGCGTTCACAGGATCCGGCCTTCGCAGTGACTCACCTGGGTGTCGGCTACTGAATCCATGTTGAACGGGTCGAGAACGTCATAGCATGCGTTCACAGGATCCGGCCTTCGCAGTGACTCTCCTGGGTGTCGCCTACTGAATCCATGTTGAACGGGTCGAGAACGTCATAGCATGCGTTCACAGGATCCGGCCTTCGCAGTGACTCTCCTGGGTGTCGGCTACTGAATCCATGTTGAACGGGTCGAGAACGTCATAGCATGCGTTCACAGGATCCGGCCTTCGCAGTGACTCTCCTGGGTGTCGGCTACTGAATCCATGTTGAACGGGTCGAGAACGCCATAGCATGCGTTCACAGGATCCGGCCTTCGCAGTGACTCTCCTGGGTGTCGGCTACTGAATCCATGTTGAACGGGTCGAGAACGTCATAGCATGCGTTCACAGGATCCGGCCTTCGCAGTGACTCTCCTGGGTGTCGGCTACTGAATCCATGGATCTGTCTCATATCCGCCAGCCGTCATTGCCGGCACAGGTACGTCAGCACAGTCAGCTTGTTTGTCAGCCGCTAGATCTTCCTGATGTGAACCCATGAAACGTCTCAGGCGTTTACAGAGGGCGGCGAGCTGCTGTTCAAATTCCGACGTTATGGGGATGGGAGTAAGCTCCCATTGAGGCTTTGGGAGTGCCCAGTGTTGTTCAGGTTTGTTTTGAAGACGCGATGTTGTGAGGTAGTTCTACTAGGGCCTGAAAGAGCCATGATATAGGGAGTGGTCTAAGGACTAGACTATGATATAGGGAGTAGTCTGAGGACTAGACCATGATATAAGGAGTAGTCTGAGGACTAGACCATGATCAAAGGATAAAGGATTAGACTGAACTGGAACTGCGTAAAAGGTGGCTACTGGATGTGATATATGAAATGCGATTGGAAAGTATGGATTGGGGCATATATTGGAAGGTATGCAACGCACTGATGTGAATGCAATATCCCTGAATAGGATAAATGTAAATAAGAACATCTTTATACCGCCAAAGTAGGATAAACCGATACAGTGGAATGAATACCATGCCAGTTCGGAGAACCACTAATAACTCAGCTGACATGCAAGTTTAATGGTTCAACCGACGTCGACTCGAAAGCTCATCCAACGTCCATTCCGACCTTGTATCCCAAGTTATTTCCATTGATGGATCCATCTGTACTGGCTGGTTGCTCTCTAAATGGAACGGCATCCCACGCGCCAAGTTTATATCACCGAGGCCTGTCAACTACCGAGCTGATTTCGGATGTTTTCATCTGGGAAAGGGCACGGTGTTGTAACCGAATGAACAGAAGTGTTAGGGGGGGGGTGGGGTGGGGCGGGTGGCGCGGGTCCAATGAAAACAGCCGCGTTTTGTTCCCTTCTGGAAGTCTCAACATGCAACCAACACAAACGCGCGTGCATATCCAGAGAAACAACTCAGTGTTAGGTCGGCTGTCACCAATTCACTCACATGCCACCATACAGTCCCAGAGGACAGGCGTTGAAATTCATCTCATATGCCACCATACAGTCCCAGAGGACAGGCGTGAATTCAACTCACATGCCACCATACAGTCCCAGAGGACAGGCGTGAAATTCAACTCACATGCCACTATACAGTCCCAGAGACAGGCGTGAAATTCAACTCACGTGCCACCATACAGTCTCAGAGGACAGGCGTGAAATTCAACTCACGTGCCACCATACAGTCCCAGAGAACAGGCGTGAAATTCATCTCATGTGCCACCATACAATCCCAGAGGACAGGCGTGAAATTCATCTCATGTGCCACCATGCAGTCCCAGAGGACAGGCGTAAAATTCAACTCACATGCCACCATACGGTCCAGAGGACAGGCGTGAAATTCACTCACATGCCTACCATACGGTCTCAGGGACAGACGCGAAGTCCAAGATGGCGCTGGTCTACGTTGAATCATAATTCGGTGGTAATGGCGCGGCGGAAGTTCCGGCGACGCATCTAGACCCGGAGAAGCACCGTCGAGAAGCGTATTTTAATATAGTAATCTATTAGGTGTATCAACGCGGCAGTCATCGAAATCTACTACCGGAAAGACTCGCGGAAAACATTCAAAGCGGACCCCAAAAACGAACAAAAAACACAGGGCTTCTTTGGCGTGCGAGGCCCGAACAAGCCCCTGCAGCGGTTTGGTCAAGAGCTCGGCTGCAGCAAGGGCGCGGTCCAGAAACTGGCAAGAACTAATAGAAAACTTCACCCTCGTGAAGTATTCCTCCACAAGACGGAGACCGCCCAGCGCTGTCGCTCAGGTGACGTCAGAGCGCTCTGGTGACGTCGCTCAGGTGACGTCAGAATTTCAGGGTCGGATGTCACGTCAGGGCGAAGGCGATTTCAAGGTCATGGTTTTGTGTCAGTGCTGACAAAAAACATCCCATCAAGAAGTTCGGAGCAAGACTTCCCTCAGAATGATAAAAAAAGACGCTGGCCGAGCTGATAAACAGTCACACATGTGCTGTAGCGATTGTTTTTGAGGATTACGAGCCTGCGACAGCATTTTTACATCAAGTTTGATTCAGAAATGAGGGTAATCTGCATCTTGACGAGCAAATTAGCAGCCAAAAATACCAATGATAGTCCACCGATTAGCCTGACGTGAGCGATGACGTTTAAAATATCATGATTTCACACGGTGCGAATGCACTGCGTGGTGCGCCACGTGCGCCGCGTGCGCCAGGTGCGCCACGTGCATGTGGGCGCCATCGTAGGGCCTCTCTGGCTCGAGGAACGTAATAGCGAGGCTGTGCAGTCAACGCCAAGCGATATCTGCAGGTGTTGGCTGACATGTGGGAGACGATGAAGCGCAAGTTTGGCGGTAGCTGGAGCAGCTGGACCAGAAGCTGGGCCAGCAGCAGCTCCAACAAGACGGGACTCCAGCCCATACAGTCAGGACGACGTAAAGCGGGGCCCTGTGCAGCAGCTGGACCAGCAGCGGCTGCAGCGAGACGAAACCACAGTCCACACGATCGGAATGAAGAGAAGCGGGTTCCGTGCCAAACCAGCCCGCTGGTCGTGGATTCCGCAGTGCGCAGAGTGCGGCCAGGGAAATGCCGTACCGCTTTCGAGGCAGCTCAGATAGATGCGGCGCGTCACGCTTCTCTGTGTCTGCATGTCTGTATCGCCAGGGGCGACAACAAGGAACAGCCTGATCGGCAGCCGTGATTATAAATGTGACGTAGACGTACCTGTAGTCATGCCAAATAGCATTGAATTTACTCTGGGCCCATGCCTCATCTGAATCGATTGAGCACCGAAATGGTATTGAATGCACCCTAGGTTCATCCCTCATCTGAATTGATTCAACAACGGAATGGCATTGAATTTACTCTGGGTCCATGTCTCATCTGAACTGACTGAGCAACGAAATCGAAAACGCTGGTTTGTCAGCTTGCCTGCCTGTCCTGGGACACACGGTATAACCCGACGATTAAAAAAGGGCACGCTTTGGATAGACATACCGTTTTGGTACGATTTATTCCACGAAAGCAGCGTTTCGGGCAGATGGCCTGGAGATAGCTCGCGCCTCGCGTCCATCATTGACGGGGATTACAGCATGTTCCTCCACCCGAATGCTCTCTGCATGAGTCAATAAAAGCGCATGTACTTTCTGCTGTTGCTGCTGAGTTGCGTGAACATAAAATTTTCCGATCGCGAATAAAGCTGAACACTGACGTGACATGAAACAAGCTAAGACCGACTGGGGACAAAGCGGACAATTGCACCGGAACAGGTGTGGGTCCCGAAAGTAAAAGTGTGGGCTGCAACGGTAAACGGGTGGGTGGTATTGCCAAACGTTGGGCTGTGCCTGCGAAAGTACGAGTCTTACTGGCAAAAGTGTGGGTTGTACTGACAAAAGGAAGGGTCGCACTGGAACAATTGTGAGTTATTACTGGCTAAGCCGTGGGTCGCACTGGGTGAAGTCTGGGTTATAATGGCAAAAGTGGGGCCACGCCGGCCAAAGTGTGGGTTCTACTGGCAAGAGTATGGGCTGAACTGGTGCCGCCTGTCCATTCAGAGGTCCCTGGTAGGTTCCCCGTGGTAGAACTCAGCGGAGGTGAGGCGTATGCAGTTGGTCAAGGGTATCGGCTCAAACACAGCTGCTGTCGGGTAACAACACAACACAACACCGTCATTGTGTTGTGACAAGTTCTTCCAAGTCTCTGGTTAGTTACGTCTGGCAGCGGCTGACTGTGCATTTCAGTGGCGCGCGGGCCGGTTGCGCCCGCCGGAGTTCGCGTGAACGTCCTGAGAGGATTGGTTCGTTTGTTCAATTCCGGTGACGTTGTTTTGATCGTGGCAACTTCCAGAGCATAACGCTTACTCGTGTTTGATGATGTGATGACGCTGGTGTTTCTGGTGAGGTTGTCTCGGGTGATGTTCCTGCCGTGTTCTTTTCTCATGTGCTCTTTTGCAGCACCGCCAGCCAAGGGCATCACCAACCACCTCGAAAGTGTGGTGGTAGCGGTATCAGCGTGGTTTAATTGCTTTGAGAGCCTGAAATCTCCTGTGCCACGATTAAATTGGCAGACTACGTTGGTTCCTTTCAAAGGGGCGGATTTGGCCGCGAGGCTATTGTTCATGACCTCGGTGACCTTTTTGTTTTTATAGTAGATGGTGCGCGTTATGTTGTCCTTCTGGGTAACTGGCTTCACTTCGTCAGATATTATTGTCTTGACTACGCTCTCTATCTTATAAGTGGCGGACATTTGCTCCTGATAGAACAGTCTGACTGGATTTGTCATGGTCGATGACACTGTTGGAGTAGCCAATATTTACTAAGACGTGTTTGATGTGCTGCAGTTAACTGTGTAACTGCGTAATTGCGTCCAATCAGAGCAGAGTTTAAAAGCTCTGAGGCAGCCACGACCAAAACATCATCACCGGAACTGAAGAAACAAACCAACCCCAAAGTCATCTTTCACCTTATTTAGGGACGACTGACACTATCAGTGAATGGTTTATCCTACCATTCAGCACGTGTTTTGCCGACTAAATTTATATTCTCCTAAAAATGCCAACCTGAAGTAATGTGCCAAAATCTAGACTATACAATTCAATCGAAATGAACTTGAATGGAACCAATTGTAAAACCGCACCGGTAATATTTATCTGTAACACGTGTTCATATATTCGTCGCTTGTATCTTGCATGTGTGCACCTTTGAGAATGGAATATGTAATTCCAAAACGTCAGGACAATCAACAGACGCCAAGAAGTGGCGAGTTACCTTTTAGTCTCAATGACGAACAGCCAACCTTAATCAGAAAATTAGACCAAGTGCAGAAAAAGCTTATTGAATGCACTTACACCAATGCCTTGCGTGTATATATATATATATATATATATATATATATATATCTCTCTCTCTCTCTCTCTCTCTCTCTCTCTATCTCTCTCTCTCTCTCTCTCTCTCTCTCTCTCTCTCTCTCTCTCCTCTCTCTCTCTCTCTCTTCTCTCTCTCTCTCTCTCTCTCTCTCTCTCTCTCTCTCTCTCTCTCTCTCTCTCTCCCTCTCCCTCTCTCTCTTACTTTCTATCTAAATATATTTGTACAAAACACGTCACACATATCAGCAGATACGCCAAACACCGTGACCCTGTGTCACGTACGACAGGTTAATCTCCTGTGTTACTCTCAGCATGACGTGGCGTGGCGAATGCTGCCGGGAATGGCTGCTCCGATCGGAAGCTCGACAGTGGCCAATCGGAAGCTCGCGGCATTTGCGTGTGCCGTGGGTCATGTGAGGGTCCAATGATACAGTGGCCAATAATCGACGGGTTCCGCGCCGTGGAAAATCAAACGGAACTGTCTGCTCGAAAAATTATAATTTCAGTAATGTTGCAAACATTTTGGCCACTGGCGACGACAAGCAGCCCGCCAATGAAGTCTTGGCCGTGTTCACGTTCAGTTATTTGGCACTGTGCCAAAGGTTTGGAAAAAAAGATCGCTACTCTATGTGGGGAATCAGGAGAGCAGCGTCGGTTCTGCTACTGGGTACTAGTTGTATATATATATATATATATATATATATATATATATATATATATATATATATATATATCAACTGCGTAGTCACCGGCCATTTCGCTTGCCATATCGGCGTGTTATATCCATTTTCCCCGGGGCCACGTGCCTTTGGCACACTGGTAACCGGACCTTGTGAACCTTGGCCACCAGCACAACGCTGATCGGCAAAGGCCCTAGGAGACGGGAGACATCCCTGGAACACACTAAGGCTGTTCTGCAGCGGTCGGGACAGATTTTTGCGCCCGGGGTAAGGGTCCGAGGTGATCGCACACTGAGTGTGCCCAGTGACGTCAGAGGGAACCATTCTGCTTCAGCCTCGTGCAACGGTGATTTATTCAAAACTTTGAAACTGTCATTGGCATCGGAATACTCCTGTAAATCGATGAGACAGAAAACAGTGATTCGTCTCGTTGCCTGCCAGCCGCGGAGGTGGTGTGATCAGTTACGTTGATGGAGGCAGTTTCGGTCGAGTGGTGAACTAAATGATCGGAAATACGTTACATGTATTTCAGCTCCCGTTTGACAGCAGATTATTTATCGATAGGATCGATAGAATGTGCTGACGCCGGAGACGGTGAGAGCCATTTATGCGACATGTCTATGCTTATACTCCTGCTTTATACGATGTCATTTGCATGTCATGAAAATCATCTTAAGTCAATTTGGATATTACCTTGCAAGGAGGAACTAGATTTAATTGAGGCATACGCCAAATGATACAAAATGTTGTTACTCGCATCGAAACATGGGTCAAGACCAATCTCCTTCGCAAGAAGATGACAGGAGATAGATTGCCGCACGAAATGTACGCACAAAGCACACAGTTCGCAGCAATTAGCACTAAAGCACACAATTGGCACTGAACGATACGCCAGATTAATTTGGCTTCAACAAGATTACGGAGATGGGTGTGAAATTGGTAACGTTCCGAATGGGACCTGACTTGTGGATAGAGTGGGTGACGAATTGCTCCTAAACATCTAGAAAATCGTTTTTGCTGAAATCGACGTTGATGACGTTCAGCAGCAACACGCCCAACGGCTGTAAAACATGTTTTCACTGGCGTTTTCGCAGGTCGACCGCACCTCGGCCTGACGCTTTGTGCCTATCGCTGACGATGCTTTTGAGGGTGTCAGAGCCAAAGGTGGAAGCAGTAGAAAACGTACGAGTCAATGCAATTCAGTCGCCAAATAAAGATGGTTCCACTCCCCCAAAGAGCATTCGCCGAGATTGGCCGCCTTAACCGTGTGAGCGACTCGCACGTAAATGTCTTGCTTTTTTAGAGAAAAGTGTGCTTCGTGGGTTCCGCGTGGGCTTGTTTTAAATTCACCGTTTACATCCCTTCGCGTTTTTGCGAGAAAGCCGTGAAGCGGATCGCATATCTCCTCAAAAATGTGACGGACTTTGTGTTTAGACGGGTGAACTGGTCTAACTCGAATCCACCCAATGCATTTTGCTGGCTTAGGACTTTGCGACCCACAGAAGGAAGGCGTTTGAATAGCTGATGGCCTCATATTCTAATAGTCTGTCCACATGGCGTCGGACGCGCGTTGACAAAAAGGTACTGCAGACAAACTGCCGCTCATATTCTTTGCATATGACAGCCGTACGTTCCGTGGTACCTAACATCAACCAAAATATAAATAATGTCCCTCAACAAACACGCT